CCACACCCGCCCCCGGGGAAGACATGGTTGGTCGCTGGATGGAAGTGTTCGTTCAAGAAGTCCAAGTGTACAAAATATAAATGTAAACAATCGCTGTCTTAAAACGCCTTTGGGGCCTCCAGGTCTCGCAACTGGGAAGCTCTGAGTACAATTTTTCGTGAGGCCATTCACTGACGCAGACTAGGTTATCTATCAAAGAAGAGTACGATCCAGCATAGTTTGAACGATATGACCCTTCAATTACCATATGAGGCAGTTCGGAGCTCAAAGAGTGTCACTGTGACCACGGAAAGGAGGAGCAATTGCGCAATACCATCTTTACCCCTGATCGTCCTAGGCCACCCTGAACGTCATGACTGTGACCAAGCACTGAGATCCTGAAACACCAAATCACAAATTTCCACGTGGAACGAGTAAGTTTTTTTCTGGGCTGGTCGTCGGCTTTTCCCACACCCTGAACCTTCGCCCTATTTCAAAATTGAAGAATCGAGGCCTCGGTTGCGGCCGAGTCAATCCTTATCCTTGGTTAACGCTCCAGAACTCATCACTGGATGTGCGTTGCAGCGGAAACAGTGCTTGCAAACACTTGCCTAGTTACTGGAAGATGGTTGAAAGTCCGCTTGTGCTGGCCGTAGACTTCAACATGGTCCCTGCAGCAACAAAACGAAGCGTATTGGAAGCAGGACACGGACTAGGATTCGTATCTGGTGAATGCGGCATGTGTAAGTATCGGAACACTCAAGCAATGAAGGTATGTATCCAAGACTACTTTTTCTACCAAAATGCTTTACTTCCCTTCTGGCTCCTGCAAGCGCTCCTCTTTCCTTGAGATGTACCCTTACCCGCTTCCAGACTTAGGAAACCCTAAACCCACTTCCAGAATTAGGCCTTTTAGTCCTGTAGGCCAAGCGCTGAAGGGCATACAGCGCAAACACATCCCCGCACACCCCGCATGGTGCCATCTCCCTCTTTGAACATGCCTTCATACCCCATACCTTATAGTTTCCGAAGCACACCGCCTGTACATACTTCTTATAATATGCCACCGAGCTCTCTTCTCAAGCCACAATGAAAACCTGATCTCTAAAAGTGCAACCTGGTCTCCTGGGGCCGGGACCTCTGTCGGGTCCGGAGGCCGGAAAAAACTTTGGTCCTTCTCCACCATTGGCGGGTCCGGCACAGAATATCATGGTTACTGACTAATTACTACCTGTGGGCCAAAACGGCGTATGCGTTGCGCACGTTTAGGGTCCAATTCTCTAGGTGCGTTGCTTTGCTGGTCCTTGCCTTGCACCGAATCTAAATAAGCCTCTTCAGCATATGATTTGCTGCAAGTATGAGGAGGTTTGCAAGTGGAACCAAACACGACTTGCAATGTGTCGAAGCTACCAATGCAAACCAAGACTAGACACGCCGTGATTCTCAAAACCACGAGTAAGTACATGCCAAACAAATACGTGAAGATACTGATTCGCAACACCATCATACTGGCGGGCAACTGGCATTACCAGCCACTGGCGAGATTGACAGACCATGAGAAATGAAGCATGGATTTTATGCACCCTGCCTATACGGAATGCTGTATGTATTCTATCTATACCTAGGGATGGATAAGACCATGGAATGAGAGATTCGTTGCAATATGTTCATATTATCCAGGCCGCCCTTGCAGTCATGAAGCTGAACATGACCCTTGCAAAGGATTCAACAGCAGAGATCAGAACTCGTGACTTTTGGATGCTCCCGATTTCCTCCATGGCGGTCAGAGCATGATGTTTCACAAGTTTCCCAAGGCCAGGCGACATCTTGAGACTTGGATCCAGATCCCTGGGCCCTATAAGCCCTAAGCCCTAAACAAAAGGGGGATGCATCTCCAGGGTTCAGATATGTACGATGCAACATGGGGCCGGAAGACGCCCAGTAAGCGCTCGACATAGCATCGCGGTGGCCTCTGGTGCAAGTAAAGCAGGAAGGACAGGGAAGCTGCAAACCTCAAAAACCATCCGCCCTTAAGCATGCAGTGTGCCATGTCTGCCTGAATGCCTTAACAAGCACTTGCAAATTGGGAGCGTTTCAGCATGACTCCTTACTCTCCTCTCGCGGGACTTCTGTCGCCCTCTCTCAAAATTCCGATTTGCCTGTGGGGTCCCTGCGCTTCTGAGAACCCCATTGGATAAGATCTGGGTGAGTAACCTACAGGGCCGTAAACGCTGAAGCAAGGAAATTTCCAGGACCGATGTGAGAAAAACGAGAACCAATGTGCTTGACTACGGTCCAAGGCCGAAAAGCACGGTGATTATGGTCTGATTGAGGTGGAGTACTCCATTTCCTTTGAGGACTCCAGGGAAATCTTCTCAGGACTTGGCAGGCTTCTATCGTCGAATCGGTGAACTAGTATCCCCTGAACAACCCCTATAATACTCCCCTATATAACCCCCTTTAGGTAGTTTAGACTATAGCTCATGTTGCCTTAAATGTACTTGGAGGCAGAGCCGCCGGTCATGAGCGGATTACAGAAGGCCTGATGAGGCTATACCGAAACTATATACGAACTATGATCTTATTGCTAGGGGTCGGGAGGTAACACAGACATAAACGGGGTATACTAAACGCATGCAACCCTGATTAATGTTGCATCCCCTGACTGATAATGAGTGAGCCCATGTGGAAAGCACATTGTACGCTGATTCTGTCAGATTGGGACAGGGGCTGTGTATGAAGCAGAAAGCAGCCTTGAAACATAGATTACAGCGATCTTTTAAGGAGTTCCTGGCATCACTGCGCCAACGCTGAGTTCCATGCGGAGGTGCCGTCGATGCCTTACTTGAAGTTGCAGGAAAGTGCGCTGGGGTTTCTAACCAAAAGCAGGATCCTCTTCTTTCAGTTGCAGGTGTTGCAGTTGTACAAAAGAATCCCCTGCCAGAAGACGTATAAGGCATCCCTAACGCGGACCCAAAGAACTGTGTCCCTGGGCTACAGTAGAAAATCAAGCTTCAACATGCTTGTGGTATGAAGCGATTCTGAGAGTCATTTAAATCTAGCCACTTTCGCTGGCATTCGAGGGTTCTGTTCATCCACCTTTGTAAGACTGGAATACCACGATGGCTCATGGCAACAGATTCTCAGTAGTTAATATCCCCCAAACCAGGGCCTCTTGAGCTCGCGGAGCCGACTTGCTGGGAGGCTTTGCTGGGGTGCTGTTAAGGAACTTAAATTAAGTAACCATAATGGGTATATATGGTACATAATAGGGTTTCCCCAATATAGTAACTTCATTTAAGTTCCTTAACAGCAACCCAGTTTGAATAATACCCATCCAAACTTCCCCGCGCTAGGCGCGGAGCAAATAGATGCGGCCTGCGCGCGCTCTGGCAAGCCGGCAACCTCTCACACACAGACCAGTTCAGGGGTTTGGGTTGCACTTTTTTGAGGATCCTCCAATCAATCTTCTCTGTAAACTTCTGCCAAGGATTTTGCATTTCAAGGCAAAAGCTGGTGCAACTCCACCTTGGAGCCCTAGACCCAAACATGCAAACCTAAACCTCAAATCCTAGCCCCCCCCAAGCCCCCCAGATTGACCTACACACCTTGGGCCCACACGACCTTCTGCAGTGCCTCTCTCCACTCTGCTGGGCCGCTGCTATCTCCTCTGAGAGCTTGGCTTGCTGGTTCTTCGTAGGGGATATGGGAATATATCCAGTACAGATTGTATTCCGCTCTTCCCTGCGAAGAACAAGTAAGTTAGGGGCATAGGCTTCGGGGTGGAAAAGCCTGAGTCATTACCAAGTACGGAGGATCAAATGAACCGGATGATGGAGGATGACACGAAAACTGGGATGATCTAGTTGTTCACCAGGCGTTTTGGCTTTGGGATGTAGGATTGAATAAGGCCTGGGGGTGATAGGACTCAACTGGCTTAGTTCGGCAGGTTCACAAGCTGTGATCTCGATTATGCGTCCAGCATGACAAGAAGCCTACTGCTGCCACTCGCTGCTGCTGGCGGTGGTGACGGCAAACTACACTGTATCAACCTGGCACTTACTCAGACATACTCGCAGTACCATGCACGATGACTGATGCTAGGATGGTGGGGGCTGTCAGGACTACCAACTAACTTTTCCAGAACCGCTTGTAGGGCCCTAGGTGTGGAGGAGCGCAGAGAGGATCACAATCCTAAGCCCTGAATGCCATGCAGATGTCTGTGGAGAGCGGGACATGAAGGATCTCAGAGTAGGTCAGGGTTCAAGGTTGGGCGGTGGAAGTGGACCCTCAATCGTCAGAACTCGTTGCAGCCTTACTGACAGCTTTGTCAAACCACGTGGGAGGAGCCTGTGCCAACCCCCGAAAGGAAGGAACACAGAACCAGTAGGCCAAGCTCTGCTGGCCGTTTATCTAAGCGACCCGCAAGCCTATTCTGGAGCCTCAACCAACAACCGCACAAAGCCCTGACCCCTCATAACGCTTCAAACCGAGTATACTCAAGCCCTGAGCTGCAACCAAGTCTCCGTAAGGGACTGACGATTCCGAAATCAACTCTGCCTTGTCATTGAGGCATGCCTGCGTGTTAAAAGATTTTCCTGTGCTTCAGGTTCATATACATGGTGGGGTCCAGAAATGAGTGCGGACCCCGATGTAGAAAAATCCTCGTTTTCCGAGGCCCCCACAAAGGGAAGCGCTATGTTCCCAACTGTCGAATGGCATCGAGAGACTCGCGCGGAGCCGAACATAATTCCCTGTACTACTCTCAAGGCATGTCAAAGATTTGGGGGCCTGGTTGAAAACATATGTGGGGGTGTGCCACAAAAATACGTTCCCCCAAAAGGGATATCTCCATGTGATTTCGCGGTTTACACTTTAAACATAGCTACCGCGACAGCAGCAGCAGCAGCAGCAGCAGCAGCAGCAGCAGCAGCAAAAACGTAATGACACAATCCGTGGCAAAGCTGATTACTTGCACCGCTCGTGATCCTCATCTCGGAACACCTGCCACCGTTTTTTTCAGGCTGCCATGTTCCCCAAACATCCTTGCTTCCAGCATCTTCCTGGTGTGTGGACCTTGTCGGGTCAGGGTGCCAAGCCTCCGGCAAATATGTCTGATCGTTGCTTCCGCAGCTGGCTTTGTAATACCAGGTGTCATTCTGCCACAAGTTGCCAGACTTGCCAGACCTGCTGTGATCTGGCCAGCCATCCATTCTTTGCCACGATTCCTTCCAAGAATCACAGGTGCAGTCTCCAGAGCTGTGCTGGTATTTGGACCAGTTTTTGTCATAGTGCCAGGAATCGTGTCTGCATTCCCGATACGCGTTTTCCAGATTTTTCTGACTGGCTGAGCCGTCCGCAGAATGCCAAGACTCTCCGCCTTTGGTTTCACGATGAGGCGGATCCTTCACTCCTGCATAGTCAGGCTTCCATTCCTCCCAGCCATGATAATGGTCAGCATATCCTGAAGTCTCGCAACGTGCGCTTCGAGATGAGCCTTGCGCATGCGCTGTGTATGACTCCTGGCTTGGCATGCTGCCAGCTCTCCAGGGAGGAACCTGCACAAACTCCCCCGGATCTCGAGGCCTTCCTGGCATTTCTAAAGCCTAGTATAGAAAGGGCTCCCTATTCCAAGGATTCGTAAGGATTCAGTGGCTTGCTAGAACACTTGACGCCAAAAAAAGAAAACATGCATGTTGGGTTGAGCTTCCCTCTTGTGCAGGGCCAAGACGTCTGACCTCGCTTGTCTGCTGTGGCCCAGGTGCCTTTGCAAGCGTTGTGGACAATTTTTGCTTCGGCATGGCCTTTGGTCTAGGAGTCTTGGGTTTCTCCTCGAAATCCAGGCTCCTGCCGCTGTTCTCTGTAAGCGTGTGGGGTATCCGCCGCCTTGGCATCGCCTTTGGCCTAGGAGTTTGAGGTCTCGGCATCGCCTTTGGCCTAGGAGTTTGAGGTCTCTCTTCAGTTTCAGACTCAGAGCTGGTGGCGCTGCTGCTGTCCTCCGTCTCGGAACCGAGCCCCGGAGAGATCCCGACAACATCGTCAGGATTGCCAGCAATCTCTGCAGACCGGAAGCTGTCAATGCAAGGCAAGTCACTGACGTTGACAATGTCCGGACCAGTCGCATCCGTAGGCTTCGCTTCCAGGAAAGGCTTCCACACACTCCAGCCCTCGACAAACTCTTCCGGTGGCGCATCAATCCTCAACCACAACGCTTTGAGACGCACGGCGTTCTGTGGCACAATCCACTGCACAGTATGCCCATTCTTGCGTTTGACACGCTTGCCGGGCTCAACCCAGAGTTCGTACACCAGACGATGGTATAATCCATCAGGGAAGGGCTTGCAGGGTCTTGCATACTGCTCAGCAATTGCAAGCGAAGGTGAGCAGAAAACACCTTGCTTGGTGTTGAAGTCGTGGCCTAGGTCACGGTCATGAGATGCCAGAATGACTCCAGTAGCTGCTACCAGCCACAAGGAATACCACCAAGTCCCTTGGAAGGCAGTATCCCAGTCTTGGAAATCGACTGCAGTTGGCCGGTAGGAATACTTGAACCAAATACCATTCCTAAGTAGGCATCAGCTTCAACTAAACTTCTTAACATCACAAGGCAACAACAGCTGCAAACAGTTCCAAATCACAACCCAGATGCTCCTTTTCCACGCGGCCCTCGTAATCAAAGCAATCAAGGCCTCTAGCTTCCTGCCAGCGCTTGAAGCACGGCTGGACCTTTTCTTTTAGACGGGCGTCTTGAAAGTGGGGTCCCTTGTTTGCAGGCTACATAAAGCTAAAGTCGAGCCTGCAATCTGTGAGCGCACCAAAAAAGTATTTCGAAATCTACCTGATTTTTGTGCACACAGAAATAATGATTTGCAAAACCTGGGGACAAGATCGTTGAAGAGCCGGTTGGCCAGCTCGTGTAGGGCCACTTGACCAAGGTAAGGCAGAAGAATCTCTGGGGGAGGAGGCTGAACTCGGCGCCTCTTCAGCTTGATCATCTCTTTCTGGTCTTTTTCCTGGGAAGGGCAAGGAAAAACATAAGCACGAACATGGTTTTTGGAACTTGGCTCAAATTATCCTTGCCATTCAACCAGGTTCCTCTTGACGCCAGCGCAGAACCAAAGCGCCCCTACAGTCTGCGGCTTCTTGCTCCGCAGCCCAACGAGATGACATGGCTCTCTCACCAAGCGGTGCCAGACAGCTGCTTATGGTCAGCAGGGGACTGCGAAGCCTATGAAGTTGAAGGATGTTGGAGGCATGAGCCAGTTTGGCTATGGATCAGAATAAGGGGCCCATACGCCCTTTCCAAAAGAAAAACTTGGTGCCAGGTACAAAGGTCTTTAACGTTTCAGTGTCATCTCTTGCATTGGGGGGGCGCCTTAGCTTCATATGAGATCTTTAAGTGAGCTGGAGGCTTTTGCTGAACAAGGATCTTGGACTTGCCAAATTTCTAGTTAGGTGGGCTCCTCAAACATGAACTCTTTCCTAGGATGCGCGCGTGCTCCTTTGCGTGGTACGCCCCTCTGACCTGAACCCAAATCCGGCAGAATGCAGAGCAAATCCTCGCAATGGAGCAGTATGAACCAAAAACAGCACGGGATGTGTTTTTATTTCATGGGCTCTGGTCATGCGGAACAGAATGCATCCTGGGTTGCATGGAGAAGAGCAGGGGCAAGATAATTAGGACGTCAGCCCCTGAGACTCCAAAACACAACTGCATCTGGCTACAAAAAACAGATTCGAGTATGGCCTGTAGACTTACCATCCTTAGCAGACGGTGACCCTGCAACTGCCAGCGCAAAACCGACATCGACAGCCCGCAAGAACATCAGCTGGGGGAGGGCGGTGCCCACATTCATCTTGGGGCCCTTCAAGGTGTGAGGGATTCTTTCTCAAGAGCTCAAACCCTGCTAGGCCATCCCAAAGACACTGAGCGAGAGAACAACCTCAAAAAGCTGCCTCTAGAATGGTGGCTTCTCTGCCGGCCTGCAGATATGTCAAAGAATCCAAAAACAGCTCCCCATTCTGACTTATGGCATGGAATCGTCGGCAGCTATCAACCTCAGCTTTCAACCTCTCCAAGCAGTAAATCTTTCGCCAATCACGGCTGCCATGACTAGTTGCTGAGGCTAGGACAGCTCGACAGCCGGATGTCCCAAAATCTAAGCCGATGTAGACCTCTGCGCATGTGTGAATGCAAGCATGCTTCAGGTTCTGCACAGGTATGGATTGGCTCAGTGGCTGTCCCCAAGGCTTTTTGCAGCATCATCATACCATGATCACAGAGCTCGCTTCTTGGGCGTCAGTGCAGTGCCCTGAAGAATAACTCAAATCATATCCCAGTGCAAACCGACGATGTGCAATGTCGAAGCAAGTGATTCAAACCTTCTTTGCTTTGGAGAGCATGCATATTTGTCAAACTTCGGCCCTTGCAGACCCCATACAAATAAAATCTCTCACAAGGCATGCATATATAGTTATTTGCGGAGTTCAAGCTCACAGCCCAGCGTCGGAAGCAAGAGGGACAGGGAGAGTAAGACAGAGAGGACAAGGAACGACAATGATAGAACAACAACGAAGCTGAAAAACGAGACCCCGTAAGGTCAAGAACAGGCAAATCAATGAGGGTGAAATAAATTCCTAGCCTGCACTCTAAGCCCACTTCCACCTGCCTCAGCCAAGCCTCTACACTTTCGATCTCAGTCCAAAGCCAGCCCCCTCTGCTCAAACTCTGAAATCGCCTTCCCAAAGCATGATGAGGTAGAGGGTAGTTTCTGAATGCCATGTACTCACATTCCAGCAGTCACCCAGGCTCTGCGACTGGAGACTGCTCACTCATATCAGGAAGCTCTAGAATGCACGCTCATGTCTTACAGTATGAAGCCGAAGTTGGCCTCCCAATTCCTAGAAGACCCTACTTAGTAGGCTGTAGAAAATAATTTGGAACTGTACTGGCCCATTTTGAGTAGACTACCCTCGGATGATAAGACCCAAAGAACGGACCATATTCTTGAGAATTCCCTATTTCATCCCTGTGTAAATGAAAATCTTTCACCTCTGCAACCCAACATGCGCCTTCCCATGCAGCGGCAATGCAGTTTCAGCTGCTCCTGGAGGGCTTCATGGCTTTGGGCTTATAGTCCCAGATAGAATATGGCGTATATGGGGATCTCGTTCTAATATACCCAAGGCCATATTCTATCTACTCAAGGGGGACTATAGGGATTGACCGGGTTGTTGCCACTTGCACAGCACGCTGCGGCAGAAGGCAAAACCTGTCCGGAAGTAGAAGCACGTAAAGCGAAAGGGTGGGGCAATGCGCTAACGGCACATGCATTGCAGTGTGCACCAGGGCCTGGGAAGCCACTCCATTCATCACACTAACTCGACTCGCACTACCAGTGTCCAAACCTGAACACAGCTGAAGAACAGGCAAGTGGGCTTCAAGATTCTTGGCGAGTTGCGAAAAGATTTGCATGTCGGTTTCGGGCTCGACATTAGAAAGTTTCCTGGCTCAGAGGAAAACATTCCACAACACAAGTAAGTAGACCAAACTTGAGACAGATCACCGCTACAAAAAAGAGGTTCCACCTTCGGGTTTTGAAATGCTGCAATTCCGGCCACGAGGGAACCCAAGTGAACAACCGCTCATTTGGAGATTTCCCAAAACAGTGGCGCCACTTCTTTTCCTTGCGCTGCTCCGTGGGCAACTCCGTAGGGAGTCCACAAGTCTCTCGACTGCCAGAGGGCCGACCCTCCATTTGCAACGTTCTGCTGAGGCCATTTACGTTTTCAATGTCAGAAAGGCTCATGATGTAGATAGACGTAATGCGCTAGCTTCGTGAGGCTCCAGACGTTCCTATCCGGGCCTTTTGGACTAAGAACACTTATCATAGGATCCTATACCACAGGCAGGGCCATCCTAGAGCTGACCTTAACCCCATTAATGAGCATCAACAATAGCAGTGGCAGGTAAGAGTCCCACGATGACAGGCGTATCTTCTAATCTTACTGGTGATGACCATGGGCCCACTAGCAAGTGTCAAACTTTCAGCGGGGAGATATATCAGGGCAAGCAGCAGCTAAATCGGCCCTGGCAGATAAAATTGCAAAACTGATTACGCGGGGTCCTTGTGAGGTTCTTGTGTCTTGCCGATTAACTCCCATATGCCCTAAAGCCGGCCTCAGTTTAGAGGGATTACCTATGGACTCTTCTGGTGCGAGGATTGAAGAGAATGAAAAAGAAATGTAACATGTCTACCCGGCAGAAGTAAACTTCTGAGTAGTGACCCTAATTGCTAATCTACTCCTACCTCATGAACCCTTCTAAAAGCCACTGAACAGCCCATCGCGATGTGCTTCTGAAAAGGCTGTAGGTATGTGCCAGGGCTTTGCATTTGAGGCTTGCCTGTTCCAGATGCTAGTATCCTGGGCTGCCGCAGATGTTGCACAGCTGCTGAGTTTGCTAAGCTCACCTCTGCCTGCTCTCTGATGAGGAAAAGGGATCCATACTGATGATCGTCCAGTCATGCCAGCACTAGTCGTAAGGTCCCCGGAGATCGCCAAATGTGGATATAACGGGAATTGCACTTCCATTTCATTTCTGTCTTCAAGTTCCCATCAGCAAGGAGGAATACTGCCTAATACGTGCTTATGAACTTTCTACTTTTTCAGAAAATGCCTTCGAGGATGCTACTTGGAGTTTCTAGTTGCCTTGCACTGCGAGTCCTCTAAGGACCCTTGCAGCCCGCATGTGGCTTAAACATAGTGCTAAGGGTCAACGTAGGGGCTCCGATGTCGTAATTTTTGGCATGGGTTACCTTCTGGATGTGGGTTTTACCCTAAGCCCTAAACCCTAAACCTTAAACCCACACGTATGGTTGAGGCTTACGTGGGGTTAGACAACAGGATGAACCCGTTGGGGTGACAGAAGCCAAAAGTTCTAGGTCTTTTTCTGCTATGGAGTCGCTGGTCTAAGGAGCTGTAGGGATCACAGGTAGTTTCCATTTTCTTTTTCATTATCCCCATATAACCCCTACATTACCCTATAATCCCTCTATAACCCCCTATAATCCTTTTGTAAACCCTACACTACCGTCTAATCCCTATATATCCCCTATCATCCTAAGGACAGCCAAACCTGAATATTTCACCCACGGTGATGAGCTTGGAGCCGTAAGTAAAGCTGTAGCAGTGCCATGGTCGCATGCTCTGCTCTTACACATGCAAGCATGTTATGGGCACTTCCATAAATATCAGGGGTCCTTTTTCTTTGCAGGAGTCGAATATCCCGCGGGTCCATATCCCGGGCCCCCCATTTGTGGAAACCGTCTTATGTCTACATCCCTTTCTGTTGGCAAAAATACCGAATATGATGTTTTTGGATTCTGAAATCCTTGCTATTTGTTACGTGTACCCCAAACACCATGAAGTACTGGCACAAAGCTCTTGAACATCTCATGCATGTCAGTGAGGATCCAAGTGCAAATGCGGTGATGCTTGAAGCAAAGCAGGGGAACGCCTCGCCTCCCAGCCTGTCTTTTTAGGCTGCGATGATGGGGTTTAAGCGTACAGGAAATAGCTAGTGACTGTACAGGGATTGTATAGGGACTATGAAGGGATGACATAAGGTTTGGGGCTTATTGGCTTATTACCCCAATGATGGAGGATGGAATGGAAAAGGTAAGGAAAATGAACTGGAAACTCTGATGCCCCATCCCGTGATTTTTTGTGGATTTTAGAAAGCATTGGGGCACTTTGCAAATTGATGACCGTGTGGCTGGAGCCCTATAATTACATGCAAAGTCCGAACTCCTGTAGTCCCTGTAGAGCGTTAGCTCACCAGTTGCTGCACCTAGCCAATGTTCAGTGTAAGTATAGTGCTTCAGAGCGGCTGAGAATGTGGCAGGCGTGACGGATGATGCACCGCATAATCTCAGAAGAGATAATAAATGCGGCAGGTGCTTCCTGCCATCCGCACCATCCCCGGTGAGCCAGCTGTAAAGTATCCTATCTTTTTACATCATGTGCCCAAAGAGATGTGGAGGCACTCCTTCATGGGCGCCGTGGGGACTAAATGGACATCCAGGCATCTTTCAGCTCGAGTAGAGAACTCCATGACCCAAGCAATGAAATGAAAAATCCTGAAGCGCACGAAATCTTGTAACCACTTA